GTGGTTAGTGTCAGCCCGTGGACTTTAGGGTTCCAAGTTAGATTCTGGTCAAGGGCACGTACCTCAGTCACAGGCTTGATCCCCGGCCCCAGTTGGGGTGTGTGTGTGAAGGGCATTGATGTACCTCTCTCACATTGATGTTTCTCTGTCTCTCCCCCTCCCTTCCACTCTCTCCAACAATCAATGGAAAAAATATCCACAGGTGAGGATTAACAACAACAGCAAAAAATGTGTGCTTAAGAAAAGGCAAGTATTTAGATAAGGCTGGGATACAGGGTTCAGGGAGAGAGAGGTGGGGCAAGTGTCACAGAAGAGTATGAAGAGTTTAAGGGTCCAGACTGTCATCCCAGCGGGCGCAGAGGCTGCACCGAGCATCCTCGTTACATCAGGCCTCTCACTCGAGCCTGGGGTGGCTGCCCTCATCCCACAGCGTCCCCTCCGGTCCAGCGGGGCTGGGTGAGCACAGCCTACTTTGCTCCCAAAGGTTCCATTAGATCCCACCCAGCCTGTCTTTATGCTGATAGGTATTCTTCCGATACCTTATTGTTCATTTAATCGAGGAACAATAACATCTGTAACCAAAATTGAGGGAGGGGGATTTTCCAAAATTGATCTGATATCCACTTGGAAGAAAATCAGGGGACTAGCCATGTCAGGTGATGAAACCACAACAATTAAATGAGTAGTTCTGGCTCAGACAACACAGGCCGATGAGAGACTCAAGGCCCAGAAGCAAACTCTGTGCTGGTAACTTCCTATGTGATTTGTGTTTGTTTTTTTAAAGGAGGCATTACAAATCAGTGCAGGGAAGAGGGTGATCTAAAATAATTTTTTGGGGGAAAGAAAATTAGATACATTATCCATACACTGAAGTAGTTTTTAAAATAAGAATTCCAAGAGATAGTAAGCGATGGAATCAGATTGACCAAGAAAACAGCTGAGAAAACCACAGCCCTCGATGCCTAAGTCAAGACTCGTTCTCCCCAGAAGCCTGGGCAGGTTTTAAGCTCAGAGTCTACAGATAGAACAGTCAGCGTGGGAGATGGGGCAAGCACCAGGGTAATTTAATAAAGAAACCCACTAGCAAAGCCTCCACAGTTTCCATACAACCCTCCTCCTTCAGCAGTGGGTTCATACAGAACCGGACACAGTATCTTCTCAGTTCCTGGGGAAATTTTGTTTATAAAGATGGCAAAGTTAAAACTGAGAGTAAGTATAAAAGAGAGATTTTCAGACCTATAAGAATCAGAAATGTTACAATCCTTTGTGAAAAATTTTCACAAGGGAGTACTTCACCAAAGAAAAAGACCAACAGGCTGCACCAGAAACAGTGGCAGCTGAGTGTGATCCAGGGTGAAGGGAATGAAGAAAAAACTGGAAGATTTATTCGAAATTAATGTTTGAAAGATTTTTCATGAACATGAAATGAAAACGCTGTTTATTGGTTTTCAATTTTTAGAATGAAAGACTTAATTACAGAAACAGAACAGAAAGTATTATAAACCTTGACAACGTGATACAATTTTTAAAAAGGTAGTTGGAGGAGGGAGGAGGGGGATCAAGGAGAGTGAGCTAATTCCCTCATTCTTCATAGAGGGTAATCAATAGATACTGCCTCCGGTGATAAAGAAATAGATGTTTAAAGATATTGTTTCAAGTCATGAAGGAGCTCCAGAAGAATGAAAATAATATAGCGAACGAAACCAGGAGCTACAGGGGGAGATCATATACATGAATTAAATCTCACCCATTTTATTGTGGAGCCTCCAGGTACCCTCTACTGAAAGTGCCACCTACGGAAGATATGATGCTCACTACCCAAAGAACTAAAGTCAGAAGCTGCAGGGAATGAAAATGGCGTTGGGGAGAGGAGAAAAGGAAAGCTTACCCTTTATTCTGTATCCTTCAAGACAGAATTATTTTTACCTGTTTTATCATGTGCATCCATTTTTTAAATAAAAAAAGCTATAATGGTCCTAGCCAGTTTGACTCAGTGGGTAGAGCGTCAGCCTGCAGACTGAAGAGTCCTGAGTTCGATTCCAGTCAAGGGCACATACCTCATTTGCAGGCTCAGTCCCCGGCCCTGGTTGGGGCACGTGCAGGAGGCAACCAATCGATGTGTCCCTCTCACATCGATGTTTCTCTCTCTGTCTTTCCCTCTCCCTTCCACTCTCTCTAAAAATCAATGGAAAGATATTCTCAGGCGAGGATTAACAACAAAACCTATGAAGATAACCACTTAAAAAAATTATGGGCCCTGGCCCGTGTGGCTCAGTTGGTTGAGCATCATTGTCCTATACCAGTGATGGCGAACCTTTTGAGCTCGGCATGTCAGCATTTTGAAAAATCCTAACTTAACTCTGGTGCCATGTCACATATAGAAATTTTTTGATATTTGCAACCATAGTAAAACAAAGATTTATATTTTTGATATTTATTTTATATATTTAAATGCCATTTAACAAAGAAAAATCAACCAAAAAAATGAGTTCGCGTGTCACCTCTGACACACATGTCATAGGTTCGCCATCACTGTCCTATACAGAGAAGTCACCAGTTCGATTCCTGGTCAGGGCACATGCCTGGCTTGCAGGCTCAATCCCCAGTAGGTGGCGTACAGGAGGCAGCCCATGGCTGTTTATCTCTCCCTTCCTTTCAAAAAGCAATAAAAACATATAGGAAAACAAACAAAAACCTATGGCACATCGATAACAGAAGAGTATGTAGCAGCTTAAAAAATGAGGTACCGACAGAGAAAGACATTCACAATACTTAAATGAAAAGGGCAATTTGCAGAAAGATGTAAGTAACATGATTCTCGTATAAAAAATAAAGTTTATAAACATGTTTGTATATTCATAGAAAATGCCCAGAAGAATAGAGACTAAACTGTGACTCCCTCCAGGGAGCTGGGGAACAGGGAGAGATGGGACTGTAATGTTTTACAATTTCTATCCTGTTCTGAAAGATTTTTGTTTTTAAAAACATTGTATAATTTTAAACGTTTGTCATTTTAGAAATTAAAGTGCTATTAATTCTTTTCTTTTTGGGTGCTATTCATTCTTCACAGAACTTTAGGAAAATTACAAAGAAATCACCCAACCTCACAACTCTTGGTATATTTCCTTCCAAATACTTTTTCTCAATGCACCTGACTCCGTTCCCAGCTGAAGGTGGGAGGCAGTAGTGTGGAATGACCGAGTGATGGCAACTCCATGTTCCAGTTAGGAGCCTGGAGTAGGTTACTCAGTCCTCATGGTCCGCCCTCCCCATCTCCATAAATGGCAACCTCATCCTTCGAGTTGCTCAGACCAAAACTGTGGGGTTAACCTTGACTCCTCTCTCTCTCATCCACTCCATAAGCAAACCCTTACTTCCACCTCCAAGATATAACCAGAATCTGACTACTCACCACGCCTGGATTTCGGCCATTTCCTCTCTGACCTTACCCCCTCCCCTACTTTCTCACCCCCTGCTCACAGGCTCACAGCTGCAGCTACACCAGCCTCCACACCTCGGGCATACTGCCCCCCAGCCAGGGATTTTGCTATCTGCTCCCTCGGCCTGGATGCTCATTTTGAAGATATTTAGGCAAAATCTCTTCAGCAGCTTCACGTCTTTCCTCAAATCCCATTGTTTTGATGGGGCTTCCTCTGACCACCCTAAAAATCAAAGCTTCCCCACGTGCCTGATTCCTCCTAATCCCCCACGCCCACACCTCTCACTTTCTAACAAACTTCCTGGTTTTTCACATGCATCCTATGTTTCATCTTACTAGAGTGTAAATGCCACGAGGGCAATAGCCTTTGTTCAGCTAAATGACAGGACTAGTGCATAGCAAACGCTCACTAGGTCTGTGTTGAATGAGTGGATGAACTGTTATTTTCTCATCTACACAAAGAGCATAATAGGACTCACCCTGTACTGTGCTGTGAGGATGACATGTCTTTCCCTGACTGGGCGCTAACTGGTTGCTAAGTGAAATAAGCCAGCCAGTGAGGGAAAGACAAGTACCATCTGATCTCATTTATGTGTGGAATCTAATGAACAAAATGAACTAACGAAACAGAAACAGACTCATAGATACAGAGAACAGACTGACAGCTGTTCACAGGCACAGACAACAGTATGATTACCAGAGGGAAAGGGGTGGAGGGGGAGGTAAAAGAGGGTAAGGGGGGTGGGGTAAATGGTGATGGAAGGAGACTTGGAGTGGTGAAATAAAAAATAAAGGTATCCATTACTCACCTCATCAACACTCAGAACCCACCTTACGTCACCTCCTCCAGGAAGCCTTCCTTGACCCTGCTACAGAGTCAGGTGCTGCCTCAGTGCACCCACAGCATCTGTGGTGGGCTCATCACGATTGTCTACAGTCTGGTCATTGCCAACTTAGGTATTTTTCTTCCCCACTTGTTCTGGGTCGCATTCATCTCTGTGTCCCCAGAAGTTCCACGGTTTGACAACATGATAGGACTTGCCTGATCCCTAGTGGAGCGGCCACAGGACTCAATGAGTGGATACTGCTGCGTCCAGGGGCCAGAAGGCCACACCATGCCCAGTATCTACATCGCAAGAATGACAAGGATCCTCACTGGCCAGTTTCCATACTGTCACAGCCTCCACTGCTGCAGTGGCAGTGGGGAAGCAGAGAGGCAGGTCATGGGAGAGAGTGTGGCACCTGGAAGTGGGAGTCCCAGTACCTCTGACCTGGGGACGCAGGATATCCTAAGGGTGAGGAGAGGCAAGGGTCCGTATGTTCCCAGTCCGGGAGCTGTTCCCACGTGGGGGACTCTTTACAGGCACCGGTGGCTCCGTCTTCTGGGTCTGTAACCTCTCCTCTCAGAGAGTGGGCACCATGCTGAGCGTCCACCTGGTGGCAGACACTCAGGACAGCCTCCCTGTCTCCTGAGGAGCAGGAAGTCACCAGAACCTACTCCGAGGTCTTGACTTCCAGAGGCCAGACTCTGGTTCCAGAAAGAGCTGAGACAAAGGCCGGGTTTGTAAGAAATCTGATTATTCAAATTTATTACCATCAAGTTTTATGCAATGATGCTGTAGTTTTCTTAACAAATAGAAAACAGACTGTGTACAACAGTGAACTCTACAGCACTAGCATCCACAAGGTAAAAATGAATGTCGCATCCAACATTACCAACCCTGGATTGTTGATCTTGACCGAGCCTAGCTAGATCTTGGGACGTCTGCTTCGCGTCCCTCGGCTAAAACAGCTATGCACCCTTCCCCGCCCCCACTTACCTACCTAGATAGTGCTGCCCAGAGGAAGAGGCCCTCTCCCTGCCCCTCAGCAAGCCAAGATTATAAGGATTATAAGTACCATGGAGAAAAGTCCAGTAGTCTTGCCACATTGGTTCATGAGGGCATCTTGAAGGAGTGGAAAAGAGCAATTCTCACGGGCTTTCAAAATAGCTGCAAACCAGGGAGGAAAACCATCCGGCCCTTCTCTGAGAACAGACATGTGCTACCAGGCCTACTGGCCTGGACCTGAAGGGCCAGCCGTGCCCCTGCTTGGCCCTGAGGTGTGCAGGGTGTGGCACACACCCTGACCTGTGCCAACTGCTTCGGCCACATGGCCAGACCCACAGCCTCCCACCACCGCACCGCACCGCACCCCGCAGTGCCGGGGACAAATGCCAGCCTCCGCGGGTCCTGAGGTCATCCTGGCAGCTCGCAGGGAGCCCCAGGGGCACCGAGCCGCCTCCCCTCTCAGGGGTTTGAAGCAGAGGCCAGGAAATGACTCTCTTTTTTTCCTTTTTTTTTTTTTCTCCTTTTTTTTGGGATTTTTTGGATTGATGTTTTTGTTTTTTGTTGTTGCTTTTTTTAACCTTTGCAAACACGATGGTGATGAGGAACGCCTTGCCAGGCTCCCCCGACACGTCTGGGGTTCTGGGCTGTGAACGTTAAACACACACTGGAATAGATGACTGGGCTGAGTGTTTCCTATCTCTTCCTCGCCCACCACTGTCTGTGGGGCCTAAAATAAGGCTCTTAAGGAGAAACAAAACAAAACTTAAAAAAAAAAATTGTTCCCTGCATTTGGCTGAAACTAGATCTTGTCTGAAGGCCTGGAAGAGCAGCGGAGCGGTGAGGCCCCCGCGTAGGCTGGCGGCCCCGGCTCCACGTGCGTGAAGAAGGCATGATCGTCCTTCAGCAGTAAAACTTACATAAAAAAGGACCCAACTAACTCAAAACAGAAAATAGACTACACCCCAACCCCCATGGCAGCCCACTCTGCAGTGAAGAATTTGCAAAAGGAAACATCCGAGAGAAGAGGCTAGAATCCCTCAGTCTACTCCACTTAATGTATAAAAAAGAGGCTTTGGCCCCATCCCCACCCCATGAGAAGAAGCATGAGAAATGCGACAGCGGAGCAGAGAGTCCGAGGTGGGCTCTGGGCGGGCCTGGTGGATAGAGACGGCGGCCGCGCCTGCCTGCCGGCCCACCCAGTGGCCAGGGGTTCCGAGCTCTCTGTTGTGGCAATGTTCCTGAAACGCTGTGATCCCAGGGGCTGTGCTCTGTCAGCAACGGCATCCGTGCAGGAGGGCTGGATGATGGTCGGTATGGCTCAGAGGAGCTGGTCCCCTCCGGAGCCCCTAGGCAGGGGCGGCGAAGGAGAGGGGGCGGTAGTTACGTTGCATAGTGGTCAAAGCTGCCGAGGTACTCCAAGGCTGCACGGTAGCACAGCTGGTACTGGTCCTGCCGGGAGAGGGGGGTGGTGAGCACGGGCAGTGCCAGCGGGTTCCCCAACATACTGCCAAGGGCACTCACACTGCAGCCAGTGGGCCAGAGCCTTGGCCCCTGCTGGCCAAGAGCAGATGCTGGACCCAGACCTCTGCCCCAGGCAGCATCCCGAGGGCCTGAAAGAATCCCTGAAGGCTCACCTCTCGCTCCCTTTCCCACTGTCCACATCCACCTACTGCCCCCGAGTTACCCTGTAGGGACTGCTATGTCCAACCCCAGCCGGAGCCAGGGACACCACGGGTGCTCGGTGCAGAGCTGCCGAATGAGGAGCACGTCCTACGGTGGAGTCGGGCTCCCAGAGCCATCCTGCCCTCGCGGCCCAGGCAGAGCTCGCCATGCTCAATGTCGGCGGTGTGCTCAGGCACCGGCCCACGTACCTCCGTCTGCACCATGGCCGGGCGCTGTGTGCGCAGGGTCTTCACGGTCTGGAACATGTCCACCACACCCTCGTAGCGCATCCGCTCCAGGACGATGCTCAGCGTGATGAACACCCCGGTGCGGCCCACGCCAGCACTGCTCAGGGACAGCATTGGGTCAGGGGCCCAATCTACCAGGCCCGCAGGCCACCCCCGCCCCTGCCAACCCCTCCGGGGGCCAGCCCCACCTGCAATGCACCGTGATGGGCCCGTCCTGCCCAAACTGCTCCTTGGTCTTGTGCACCTGCCCGATGAAGTCAATGAAGCCCTCCCCGGTCTTGGGCACACCCTGCTCTGGCCAGTCCGTGAACTGGAACTGCCGGATTGTCCTCGACTGCCCATCCTGGGAGAGGCAGGAAGGGAACGGGGTGAGTGCCGCAGGCGGCAGCCCCACCAGACCAGGAGGGTAGCCCGATGACACAGGTGAGCACCCTGGGAGCCAGGGCACATGCAGGCAGCCCCCGCCCCACGTGCTCAGGCAGCTACAGACACGGTCCCCCTGTCCAAACTCACCCGGGCGTCCGTGACCTTGAACTCACGCAGGATATACTGTGGCATGTTGTACTCAGCCATCGGGTCAACAACAAAGTACTGGTAGCGAGCGGAGCGCTCTGCTGGCCAGTACTGGTGGCATTTCTCCTGTGGACAAAGGGCCCGCCGCCACGATCAGGTGGGGAGGAAAAAGGGAGGGGCTCCCAGGACCAGAGGATTCTGAGGCCGGACCCCTAAGGTGGTGTTAATTGGGGGGCTGGGGGGAGAGGGGACCAGAGGTTATGCTGATGGGAGGCTGGGTATGAGAGTAGAGAAGAGTGAGGGGGGGCTGGTATGCTCCCAGGTATCAGAAGGGCCCTGGGGGTGGGCTCACCCTGCCCATCTCCCGAAGCCTGGTCAGCATGACGATGATGGTGGAGTTGTGCTCCCACAGCATGCGCCAGAAGTCCTCGGTGCTCTCTGCCAGGGGCCCCTGTGTGGCTATGTAGGCCTTTTGCTGCCTGGGGTGGACATAAGACTGGACATGCTGGAGGTGCTATGCTCCCCGAGTCTCCCCAAGACTGCAGAGTCTCTTGGAGCTCCACTCAGATCACCCCTCCTCCGGGAAGCCCACTCTAACCGTCTGGGCTGGCCCTACTCTGTGGTACCCCCAGCCAGCCAGGCACAGGCCTAGGCACCCACAGAGCAGAGTGTGGTGGGCAGACACAAGCATGCTAACCTGTAGCCATCCAGGAAGCTGGCATTGATGTAGTCAGAGCCCTCCACACCCCGGATGGGCTGCAGGCACACTCGGGTCAACTCATAGGGCATGATGTTCACCAGGCGGTTCTTGAACTTGTTGCAGGGCAGGTTGGCGCTGATGAAGCGGGATGTGTGGGCCTTGGAGCTGGCCAGCAACTAGCGAGAGGGAGGGACTGGTCAGGCCTGGCTTCCTGGGTGGGGGGGGGGACTCATCCCCATGCCCCAATCCAGGCCCAGCCCTTGGCCCACCTTGAACTCGAGCTCCATGGCGGTCACACTCTCCCCAGGAGGCACTTGGCCCAGCTTCTGGATGTGGGCGTAGAGGTTGCGGGCGGGCACCTCTGTGTGTCCGCACGTGGCGGCCTCCAGCAGCGCCTCGTGGATGAACACGTACTGGTCCTCTGTCTGCACCATGTAGTTGCGCTGGGATCGCATGCACGTCACGTGGCCGTAGATGTCCACCGTCTTCTCGTGCTTCATGCGCTCCAGCATGGCGTCGATCACGATGAAGCAGCCCGTGCGGCCCACACCCGCGCTGCAGGACACGGGCTCGGCTTGGGGCACAGGTCCACCCACCTCCCCCCCCGCCCCTGGGCGGTGCCGGGCCCCTCACCTGCAGTGCACCACCATGGGCCCCGCGTCCAGCGGGTTGCAGGCCTTGACGCGCCGCAGGAAGGCCAGGATGGGGGTTGGGTACTCGGGAACTCCATGGTCTGGCCAGGCCATGAACTGGAACTGGCGCAGCTCCCGCTTCTCACTGGAGCCACTCTGGGGAGTAGGGTGGGGAGAGGATGTGTGTGAGGGGAGTCTGCCTGCTACAGGCTCAGGGCCGATGACGCAGTGCTGGCAGCCACAGTGCACTCCCACGTGTCTGAGCCGACTCCCGAGCCCCAACCTCCGACGCCGAGTTCCCGCCCGCCCACCCGGCACACCTCGCTCAGAGAAGCACCGGGACAGGCCCATACCTTGTGGAGTGCAAAGGTGCGCACGGTGTAGGTGGCCAGCTCCACCGTGTCCAGCAGAGTCACCTGAATGAGGCCGTAGGTTTCAGTGCCACGGACCGGCCAGTACTGATCGCACTTCACCTGCAAAGGGACAAGCCAGGCAGGTGCCAGGGTGTTCGGAAGTGCCCAAAGGCTCGAAGGGGCAGGGGCCCTGGGGCAGAAGCAGGGTGGGAGGATACAAGGCTCCCCAGCCCAAGCTCTCAGATCCACTGTGCCACCCCCTCTCCCCAAGTCTCTTGGGGGCCCCACAGCCGGTTCTCACACTACGTCGCCAACCCTGCCCTTGCCGGGGGAACGAGGGCCGTAATTGAAATTTATTTATTCATGACCAGATCGCACCAGGCACGTTTTCTGCCAAATTTACCCATAATGTTTATGTGCCATTTTCAAGCTCTGTAAATTTTACGTTCCAGTCAATGCTTTGCAGTGCAAAAGCAGATAACAGTGGCTCTTTCCACTAATTAACTTGGAGATGTGTTAATGCCCCAGGAACATCCAGCATCTGGGGAACATGTGAACATCCCGGGAACATGCCAGCAACTGGGGAACATACTCACATTCCCAGAAAATGTAGCATCTGGTGCAATATATTAACATCCTAGGAACCCACTCGTGTCTAGGGACCACGGTAATACCCCAGGAAAACAACAGCACTTGGGAATTCCCTTGGGGAACTTCGTCCCACAGGGACACAAAAGGTGCTTGAGTCATCTGGTGGCTATTTCCCACCCGCCTCCTGGCAGAGCCCTGCCCAGTCTTACCCGGGACTTCTCCTCCAGCCGCGTCATCATGACCACAGTGGCCGTGCGCTGTTCCCACACCATCCGCCAGAAATCGCCCATGGTCTCGGGCAGTGGGCCCTGCGTGGCAATGTAGGCATTCTGCTTGCGGTAGCCATCGATGTAGTTGGCATTGATGTAGTCGCTGCCCGGGACGCCTGTGGATAGGAAGGGACACGGGAGAGCATTATCCTAGGGTCCCCGTCCCCACCCACCACACCTCAGTGCGCCCCAGGACTCATGGGCCTTTTCCGCAGGATGAACGATCACCCCAGCCAGCAAGGAGGAGAGCAGGGGATGGGAAGGGCTCGCCCCTGGCTCACCATCGATGGAGGTAAGGATGACACGAGAGTGGTCGTAGGCAATGACATTTGCGTAGCGGTTCTTGGGCTTGTTTACCTCCAGGTTTGAATTCTCCCATGTGAACTGCTGTCCAGGGTCAATGGACTGCAGAGAATGGAGGAGGCAGGTGGAGTGGGTAAGAGCTGAGGTCTCCCTACAGCCCCCTAGGGGGACTCAGCCTTCCAGGTGGTGCCCACATCCCATTTTCACTCCTAGGCCACAGCCAGCCCCTCTGTCCACGGTTCCAGTGAAGGGTGGACTCCCGCTGCCCCAGCCATGAAGTTCAGGGGCTGCCACACCACTTGTCAGGAAGGTAAAGAATCAAAGCCTCTTCTGGCCATGGAACAAAGCCCCCTGCCTGCAGAGCGACTGGGGGTGAGGTGAGGGCAGGGGAAACTCCCTCGGGCCCTGCACTAATGAAATGAGCGCAGAAGGAGAGGGAGCGAAGGCAGCCAGCCATGTAGTACCTGCCACTGCCCAAGGCTCTGGGCATCCACCACAAGGCCCTGTCTGCCTCTCCTACCTCTCTGGCTGTTTCTTCTGCCTCCTCCCCGTCCACCTGCTTTTCCGCAGGCAGGACATAGGGCTCTTTCAGGGTTCACTCCCGGGCCCTCTCCGACCGCCACAACCTTCCCCGAGTGACTTCATTTGCTCGCAGGATCTTACGCCCACGCGCTGGCGCTCCCATAACCCAGCCGGCAGCGTAGCGTCTCCCCTGGGTCTCCAGTCTAAAGAGCCAGCAGCCTCCTTCCTTATACCACGCAGATCTGATGACCAATTTCCTGCTTCATGACTTCCAGGGCTCCTCACTGCCTCACCTCAGACGATGATAATAATAACGGCTCCATCCTCGCGAGAGCTCACTGCCTGCTTGGCACTGTGCTAAGCACTTCGCATGCATTCCCTCACCTAATCCTGCCATGAAGCAGGTTCTATAATTACCCTCTCTTTACAGATGGATACAATCCGGTTTCCCGCACACGATGTTCCCCATGTTTTGGAGCCAGCCTGTCACTCTCCACAGGGCAGCCTGCGCCACTTCTGTAAGGCCCCTCAGCGCAGCCCACCTCGCAGCCTCCCTGCCCCACACACGTCCGCCACATTTTACAAGGCACACCGTTCTATTCCATGCTGATCACCCGTCTGCACTCATCTCCCCAGTGACTGAGCTCCCAGAGGATTTGTCTCCATATCCAGCACCCAGCACAGGGATGGCACAGGGCAGGTGCTTGACAATGAGTGCATGACTGACTGACCACTAAAGGTAACGGAACCATGGACCCTAGCAGAGGGAAAGCCCTCGCAGGCCAGGGAAGCCAGAGAAAGCTTCCTGGAGGAAGAGGGTCTTGCAAGGAAAGCTCATCTGGAGGAAAAAAGGGGGCAGAAGGTGGAAGGGGAGACACAGAGGCTGGACGGGGGGCACAGAGCTCTGCTGGGAGGAAGGGCAGGTATGGGACATGGAACTCAATGTGTATGGGCTGAAGGCCATGAAAGGCCCTCCTGGCCAGTGAAAACCTGAAGGCAGGGAGCCCAATGCGCTGTATTTGTTACCCTCGAAGCAGGACCTTATGCAAAGCAGGCCCCAGGGTGCTCCACAGGCAGAGGCAGGAAGCTTGCCTATGGCAGACACGTTCCTCAATCTGCCTGCCAAGCTCAGCATCCTTGCAGAGCTCGGACACACCCTTTGGAATCTGCCTGGCTCCCAGCCTGTGGAAGGGGAATCATGGTGCCCGCGGTGAGGGTGGACGCAGCTGAGGATGGACATCTGACGGGAGTGGAGCAAAGCCCAGGCTGGGCTGAGCCAGCCCTTCTATCACCTCCTCATCCCTCACTGATAGAGGTTAATCGCAGGGAAATCTGTGCCAGCAGCAGGGGAACCCGGGGCTGAGCCACAGGGACAGCTCCCTCTGTGCTCCTCAGAGGGGTGGGGCTCTGCGCTCACCTTCACTAGCAAGGCGCTTCCCAGCTGGGCAACCTGGAAGCCCTCAGACCCCAGGCCCAGGGAACAGTGCTCGGAAGTCTGAGCCTCCGGCAGGCAGGAGTCAAGGCCAGAGTGCCGGGCGCATGTGGAGGGCCCCGAGGAGGGTTTGTGCAGCCTGAGCCGAGTCCCCTGACTCCCCATGGCTGTGATCTGTGCAGCCCTGGTAACACGTGAGTACAAGCTTGAGCAGGGCTCAGGCTGTGCCTGTGTGTGTCAGGCAGGCCTGGGTTGAATCCTGGCTCTACGATCCACCAGGTGTTTGACCTTGGGCAGGCCACTTGCCCCCTCTGCCTCAGCTTCCTCCTCTGTAAGATGGCTTAACAACAATACACATTTCACAGGACTGTGGAAGGACTAAATGCAACGATGCATGGAAAGTACTTAACCCCGTGCTGGCCCAGAGTAAGTTCTTGGGACGTGCCAGCGATTACCATTGGTGTGTGTGTGTGTGTGTGTGTGTGTGTGTGTGTGTGTGTCACCTTTTGCTGCCTCTGTGAGCATCTGGGCATGTGTCTGAGTGTCCAGACCTGGAGTGCTGGGAGGGCCGGAGGAGGACCAGCACCCGAGTAGCCGAGTTCCTGACTTTTCACTGCTGACGTACTCTGGGGAAGCCTGGAGCCCCTGACCCACAGCTGGGACCCGAGGCAGGAGAGAAGCTGGCGTGGGGCCAGGCACATGGCCGGGGTGGGACGTCTCACCTCATACTCCTGGGAGAACTTGAGGCCGTCGTTGGCTTTGAGGCGCTCAATGTTGTCCGCTAGGTCAGTGATGGGGATGGGCGGGTGGTCCCGCATACCTGGGGGCACACACAGGCGGAGTTAGCATGAGGCCCGAGCGAGGTGGCAGAGACAGCTCCGATGCATGTATGTGCACATGTGAACGTGTGACCATGGAGCACTCGGCACTGGTGGCATGGAGACAGCGGCACATGCGGCGACAGGATGGCAGAGCACACAGTGGCCGGAGGTGGGGAGAGGAAGGAGAGGGAGTGTGTGTGACGTGAGCACGTGGGAGCATGTCTGTGTGACACGGCGCTGAGTGGGGGCACCAGGGCCCCACCTGGTGGGGTCTCAAGAGGGGTGAGAGGCTTCCTCCCTCCCAGGCGGGGGCTGTGGCTCCCTCAGCCTGCACCCCGCTGTGGGCAGCCCTCCTGCCCCTCACTGGCGCGGGTCACCGTGGGAGACTCCATGACATCATCGCCCCAGCATCAAGCATGTGGATGGAGTGATCACGAAGTACAGAGACAGGGCGGAGTGACGTGGAAGAACACGGAGAGAGAAGCAGAGGTGAGGAGGGGGTGTAGAGACAGGGAGGCAGAAAGGTGTCAGATTGAGGCTGGAGGCCAGAGAGGCGGAGACTCAGAGAAGGGGCCGGTGGGAGGGAACACGACACTGAAGGAAACAGACAGGGGAGGAGGAGGATGGAGAAGGGAAAAGATGAGACAGCGAGAAGGGGAAAAGAAGAGAGGAAAGGAGAGAAGAAATCAAGGGAGAAGGGGGGGCGACTGGGTGAGAAAAGTAGAGGAAAGACACGGAAGCCAGAGTAGGCCCCAAACATGGGAACTTGGAAAACTAACTTGAGATATTCGGGCAACTGGGGGCACTGGAACCTGCAGAGAAAAAAAAACAAAAAACAGCAGGGCAAGAGAAGAAAGCTGGTTAACCTTCTCTGGTCACATCACGGTGGGCGGAGGGGCGGTGACGTGGTGAAGGGGCTGAGGGGGCAGGAGGAGGAGGAGGAGGAGGTGGAGGGGGAGGAGGAGGAGGAGGAGGGGGAGGACCAGGGGCAGCAAAGCCAGCCCCACGCAGGCCTCCTGCCTCCAGAGGAACACAGACGGGCTCCCACCCAGAGCCGAGTGCTCTCGACTCCCAGGGGCCTGGGAAGCCTCTTTTTATGGCTACATTCTTGGTCCAGATCAACCCTGTCCCCTCTGGTAATAAAATTAGACCTTGGCTATTTTCAGAGAATTTGGCAAAAGCAAAGTGTGCTTTTATACAGAGAGACGAGGCGCATATGGCAAGAAACGAAAGGGTCAGTCTGCACGAGAACATGCAGATCACTCTTACAGCTTTTCTGTGGGGCTGAAAAACTTTATTTTCAGAAGAAACATGAAGTGATAAGAGAAAAAAAAAATTAATGTTTACTCAACGAAAAACACCGTGAGCCCTGGAAAGCGCTGCCGCTCCCACTGCCCCCGGTTCCCTCGGCGCTGTCCGTGTCCAGCCAGCAGCCTGTTCCTTGACCTGCAGATTCTCGGTGACGCCCGCCATGCCCCTTCCCACTGCCCGGCTACAGCCGCCTGCACTTGGCCTTTAACACCACTGCCAGCCTCTTCTTCGTCCCTCCTTTCCTCTCAGATCCCTGCCATTTCCCTCGGGCCCCTGCAGCCACAGGCATTCAGGAGCTGTCCCCCGGGCCCTCCGGCTGCTCTGCAATCCTCCCAGGCACGCACACACCCGCCGGCTTCTCATGACCCCGCTCTAACCACTGCCTCTCAGCCTGGAGGAAACAGGCCTTGGGCAGAGAACTCCAGCAGCACGTTCCCTACACACCCTCACCCGCCTCCCACCCTCCTGGCCTGGGGCTCAGAGGCACCCCCGCCCGCCTCCCCCAGGCTAAGTCATACCCCTCACCCAGGGCTTGGACGCTGCATCACAGATGCTCACTCAAATGACCAATGTCCGTAAACAAGGCCAAACCGGAAAGGAAATCCTTTTTGGATCCCGCACCTCTCTCTCCTCCCTGGCGGTGCTCCTGCCCTTCCCGTCCTTCACACTCAGCCTCTGGAAGAGGTTTCTCCACTTGCTCTTTCCCCGCTCACTGATGGAAATCACTGGAACGCTTCTGCCCTCAGGATTCGGTCACCATGCTCTCTCCAAGATGCCAACCGCCAAGCCGATGGCCCCTCCTCTGGGTCTCCGGCCTCTCTAAATCACCAAGTCCCCTCCCGCACAGCCCTCCCCACACTGGCTTCGGGGATGCTGCCCTCCTGTTCTCTATCTCTGGTTGCAACATCTTAACCTCCTTGGCTACTCTTCACTCATCCTTCCTCAGCGTTTCATCACCTCCTTCCCTGGCTGCTCTTTCCGCCGCATCCCCTTCCCCTCACCTTCTCCTGGGAGCGCCCACCTACTCTCAGGCTTTGACCACTTCATGCTCCTTGGCATCTCCCGCACCCATGGTTTCAGCCTGGATGTTCGTGCGAAGGTCCAGACCCAGACTCGGCTGCTGCCTGGAACCCACATCCCAGCTGCCAGCCAGCAACCAGGAGCCATGCCCCCCACTTCTCACTTCCACGTTCCATCAAGCCCCAAGCCCAGCACAGGTCTCCTTCCTTCACGCTTCTCTGAGTGCCTTTCCCTCCACCTTCCAAGTCCAGGTTCCCAGCTCCTGTCACTTACCCGGTGGCCTTCTAAACAGCCTCCCTCCCGACTTCTCCCCCTTCAGCCTGTCTCCCGCACAGCAGCCAGAGAGCTATTTCTAGAGCACAATGCGACCCTGCCCATCCTCTGCTGAAACCTTTCATGCCTCCCTGGCCCCTGAAGATGAAGTCCAAACTCTGGAACCTGCTGCTCAGGTTCCTCTGACCGGACCTCCATGTAAGCCTCCAGGTCGTCTCTGGGTTCTCCATAACCCCAGTTCCAATGCGGCAGAACACTCAACGCCTCTGAGCTGCTCCTGCGTGTGCTGTGTCCACCAATGAGAGCTCCCTCCCACCCCGTTTGCTCGCTTAATGACCATATGGCTTGGCATCCCCTCTCTGGAGGTTCTTTGCCTTCCAGAGCCCCAGCACCCTGGAGCTGTGATTCCTCAGATACCGGGGTTGCAACAGCCTGCTCGGTCTGCCTGGGCCTCCCTCTCTCAGCTCATGTGGCCCTGAACTCCGTCACCACGGTGTAAGGGAGCCCACGCCACATGAAGAGGCTTCAGGTGGTTGTCACAGCTGACAGCCCCAGGTGGGCTCAGAGCTGATTCTAGCATCAACCACCAGACACGGGAATAAACTAGCCTTCAGAATTCAGCGATCAGCAAACTTTGCTATAAAAGACCAGGGAGTAAATATTTTTGGCTTTGTGGACAAAAGGTATCTACCGCATCTACTTAACTGTGCTGTTGTAGTGTGAAAGTTGTTATATACAATGCCCAAGTAAATGGGCATGGCTGTGTTCCAATAAAGCTTTATTGGCAAAAACAAGTGGTGGGCTGACTCTGGCCGTGGGCCAGTTTGCTGACCCCTGCTTTAAAGGATTCTAGCTCCCAGACTTCAAGCCATCCAGCTGAGGGCCCAGACACTCTACAATAGAGACAAGCTGTTCCCGCTGCGCTGCCGTCTGAATCTCTGACTCACAAAGACTGTGACAGACAATACATAATTATTGTTGTTTTAAGCCATTAAGTTTTGGGGTAATTTAATATGCAGTAATAATTAGCTCGTATATACACAAGCCCTGTGTGGATGTGTTAGTTCATGCTTCCCTTCAGCTGCCTGTGCGTCTGTTTCACAGGCGTTCAACGAGAACCCACCGCGCCCACAATACCAGGGGTGGCGGGTGAACAGACACAGCTCCTGGCTCCACAGAGCTCAGACTGACACTGCGGCGATTCCAGCCCAGCCTGAGAGGTGTCATGCTGGAAGACGCAGAGAGGTTCTGGGGCCCAAGAGAGACACTCCCTCCCCCACCCCCTGTAGGCCTGTGTGGGGGCTGGGCAGTCTGGGAGGTGCCACCCAGGGGAGAGGTCTGCTGAGGCCCGGGAAGGGAAAGACAGGTAGAGGAACAAGGCAGCCACGTGAGAGTGGCTGGGAAAGGAAGGCGGACACCACGCCCTGTGCAGGGCCCCTGTGCTCTCCTGGGAGAGCTGGGGCCAGCTCCAGGAAGAATCACACGTGGGCACGCCATCCCACAAGTGTCTGATGGGCGTTTTCTACCAACACACCCCTCTTTTATGTGGAGGGGCTAGAGTGCAGGCGCTGGCTACCCCGTGCCTGGGATGTGGGCTCTGTGAGGGTCCCTAGCCCATATTCAGACAGACCAAAGACAAGGCAGGGCCTAAACAGCTGGGCCTCCCGTCAAGCTCCTAGGGCCCGGAGTGCCTGTCCAGCTGTTGGGTATAGGGGCTCCTCAGTCACTGCAACAAAGCGGATGGTACAGGGAGAAAGGCAGAAAGGACGAACAGGAAATGGGGCACACATCAGGGTCCCTCGGTGGAGACCCC